GTCTCATCATGGGGAATAACTACCACCAGCTGCCCAGCCACTCAACCAGGCCCAGTCAAACTGACACACAAACATAACTACTGCAGTAGAATCCGTATTTGTTGCCTTCATCATGTGGAGATGATCTCATGTGTACCCAACAGCAAGTGTCTTCTCAGTTGTTACATCATTGTTGGGAATACGTTGATCCAATACATTCTTTGCAGTGCCTAAGATTCCGTGTTCTGAGACTCAAACACCCAGACATCAAGTGACCTGGAATGTTAACATCTCGATTCCTTTCCTCCTTCTCCTCCATCTCAAATACCATTTAAAGTTATCTTGCGGCTAGTGTTCCTTATGGAGAAGGAACCATACATGTCTATTCAACATCTACCTGCATGGTACCTGCCAGGGCAGGACTCAGCTGAATTACACTTTCTTTATCCATCTGCAGACCTGCTGAGAATCAAAAATCTTTCCCAACCTGACCACGGGGACACTGTGGTGTGCCAGCTGGGGGATGTCCCAGTGTTTTGGCCTTCTCAGCTGACCAGTCTGGAAGCTGTCAGAAGCTGCAGTAGGTTTGAGGTTGTGGTGGTCAGGCAATTCCTTTGACCTCAAGTGGGCTCTAATGATTCTTAAAAGCATGGGTTTACAGTACATTATCAGGGCAGACCAGTCCCTGGAGAAGGTCAGGATGTTTAACAAAGTTGAAGATCAGCAGAAATAAAAGGAAGACCCTCAAGGAGATGGATTGACCCAGTGGCCACAGCCATGAGCTCAAAACAGTACAGTGATTGTGAGGACGACACGGGACCTGGCAGGTTTTCATTCTGTTGTTCATACTGTGAGTAGAAACCAACTTGACAGTATCTAACAGCAACTACAACAGTAAAACAGTTACAAAATAAATAAAATAAAGTAATAAAACAAAATCCATAGGCCTACAGCCAACAGCTAAGCTTTCTCTGGCTTCCTTATTGACCCCTAGGTCTTGGTCTTCTCACCAAAGCAACATGTCTTTCATCTCAAGCACACTTTGATTAAACATATTTCTCTCTCCTAAAGCCTTACAGTCTATCCTAACAGAAAGGCCGAGTTTGGCCTGACTTTGGCAGACATTTTGAAGGATGGTGTGGCTTTAACCCTTTCATGACCCAGTTATTTTCTGCTTTGAACATTCTGTTGATACCATATGTTTTCAATAACAGAAGACAAGCTTAAATCAAGGAAAAACAATTTTTTGAGGCAATATGGATTTTGATATTGTTATTTGGGACATACATGTCCCAAGTAGACTCCAATGGTAGGTGTTCTGATTACCTAGTGCCGCTCTGACAAGAATATACCACAAATGGGATGGCCTTAACAAACAGGAGTTTATTCCTACAATTTGGAGGCTTTCAGTCCAAGTTCAAAGTGCCAAGCTCTAGGGACTGGATGAAAGCCCCTCAACCTTTCCCTGCTCCCAGCCCACTAGAGCTAAAGGCGTTTCTTCACTCAGACAGCTGCTGGCTACTGAGGCTGAGAAGCCCCAAGGTTGACAAGGAAAAAGGCACAGTCCCGATGTTACCAAACCACACAGCAGGCCATTAACTTAAGTCCATTGTAAGTCCC